GAATGAAGGGCGCAAAGTGAGAGTTAAGTCATCCTTTATTATGAACAACACATGACAACCAAAATTTGAAATTCTCCCAATAGAATTTTGTAGCCCAAAAAAAAAAAAAAAAAAAAAAAAAAAAAAAAAAAAAAAAAAAAAAGAAAAAGGAAAAGTCATTCGTCAACATTTTCAAAGTTTGACGTTGAAAAGTCGCAACTAAGTCAACATTTTGACTTGATTACCTACCTACCCCTTCAATTTAATTGATGTACTCGATACTAAGGAAAGGGGAAGCCAAAAAAAATTGATTTAGGGATTTTTTTTTTTGAGAAAATTACACACACACCCCTGAGGTATACTTAAATAATTTTAAGGTCCTGTGGTATCGATAATTACAATCACCCCTTGAGACGTAGTTATAAACTCCAATGGTATAATGCATTGGATGCGTTATTACGATAGAGTTCTAACGGACTATTGGTTTCAGGAAGTGGTGAAGACAACAAAGAGTTATGGGTGATTTAAAAAATATTGGGGGAGTCATGTCACCCCATAACTCCCCATAACTCTATGTTATCTCCACAACTAGCTAAAAGTAATAGTCCATTAGAACCCTATCGGAGTAATGTATCCAATGCATTATCCCGTTAGAGTTTTTAACTACCTTTCAGGGGGGTGAGTGTAATTATCGATACCACAGGGACCTTACAGTTATTTAAGCATACCTCAGGGGTGTGGGTGTAATTTACCCTTTTTTTTTTTAAACATCATAACTTTAGTCTTTAGTAGTCATGAAAGTGTTTGATATTTCTTTTTCATGGGGAATACGATGCTACACCCGGTGATTTTCACTGGGTGACTCTCTTATTGACATGTGTCCTTTTTAATTTATTTTATGATTATATTTCTAAAACCCAATGGGCCATAACTAAACCCGTAGTGGGAATCTTATCAATTATGGTGCCTGGTTATATTCATCAGGTGTAGCATAGAAATTGCCCTTTTTCATGTGCATAAACCAAATCGGGATCGTAAAAAAATAAATCAAAAAACTTCAACCGATAATTAATTTAATAACCATAGACGTTGAAGTAAATGAATTTTAAAATATTATTTCAAATATCAGACGAATAGTTTATACATCAACTTATGTTTAAAATTGAAGTTGCTCATAGTACATGCATGTGAATTTTTTTATTCTATATTAGGTGAACCTCATTTGCAGAAATTTACCATACTCGTATATCAATAACTACGTTATCTTTCATGAAAAAAATAAGTAAAAGATAACTAAATTATCGATTTATCTTTGATTTTGTGTTGATTTACAGTGTAAAATGAATTTACTATTACGAGACGTATACATATATCAGGCATTCGCTTATTTTCTAGTAAAGACATTTTTTACAGTAACAGTCAAATCATTTTTGTACGAGAATTTTACACTTTAGAAGTTGATTTGAGATTTTGTTTTCTATGAAAAAGTTAAGCAAACACGAATTCGTTTCCGGTAGAGAATTAAATTGAAACCAAAACCGAACCAAACATTGCCATAACATTTATAGGGTTTCTTTCGACCATACACTCGATGATAAACTCCGAGTGGATTTTCTACTGACGCGTGTTATATTTAATTATTTATTACACCCGGACTTAAATTAATCTATAGGAATTTAAAAAAAAAAAAAACACGTGTCATCTGAGGACCCATCCTGAGTTTATCAGCGAGTGTATGGTCGAAGAAATCCAGTTATAAGGACCATTTTGTTTTTCTATTTTAAATTAATAATTATGAAAAGGTTAGGCACGGCACGCCACACCACCGGTAAATCAAAGCCATAAGTTGATGAGCACGCAGAACTGACCGTCTTACCAAAAATGATTACGTCATCCCGTCCCTGTACTTACAAGCCAAAATAACGGCCCCCTACCCCCTACCCCCCACCCCCACCCCCCACCCCCCATCTCTGCTATTTATCTTCATTTTTGTCATCAACCTTCGAAAAGTGTGCCCACGTTAATTATATTATTATATGAAATTTATTATCCTTCTTCACATATATATATATTGGTGATTCGATATATAT